CTTTCTAATTTCCTAAATGTTTTATTTCTCCTTTTGGGGTCTTTTTCTACATATCTTATTTATGTTTATGAGATATAATAGCTAGAAATATATGCTGTATTCATGATATGTTCATAAATTTATATGAAAAAAAAATCCTAATCATCTCTAGTATAGAACTCATCTCTATCATAGCTAATATATGTTTTTCACTAATATTCTTTTCATATCTATCTATGTTCCTCATATAGAATATATCATTGGTTTATATTAGTTTCTTAAAGCCTTCTGCAGAGTGATCTACATTAATTATTGTGTAGTAATGAAGGAATACTACAGAATAGTAGTTTAGTAGTTAGGAATTTCCATTGTCTTTCATTAAAATTAGCCATGCTCAAGTAGTTAGTTTCTATCCATTCTTTTACTAATGTAATATGGAGCAAACTTGGATTGTTGCTAAACCTAGAGCACAGGTGTCAAACTCAATCGCATCACATGACGTATCGTGACGTATCACAACTTTTTTGCCTTTGGTGGGCGTGGCCTGTGCGTGATGCATCCGGCCCGTGGGCTGCCAGTTTGATACCCCTGACCTAGAGGCTGAAGCCTAGATTTGCATTGCCAGAAATACTGTTATTTTAATTTACTAAAAATGGGTGATTTTGATTGTTCATTTTGTTAGAAATCTTTTGAAATTTTGTCAGGAAAATGCTTCATAAATGTTTGAAAATGCAAGAATATTATGAGTTTTCATTGTTATCTTTCAGCACAGCTAATTGACAAATCCATTAATTAAACTGGAATTGAAGATCTGGTTAGGCAATAGGATATGTCAGCTATTGAGATATCTTTATTTTTCTCTTGGATTTTTTTTTTTCAAATTCAAGGGACGTGATTAAAAAAAAATTGTCTATTATCTGTCAAGCTGTAAATTGCAGACAGTTATAGCACTCTGGTTCCAAACCATGCTTGCTATGTCTTTTAGAGCAAGTGAACTAAATTCTTATGGCTGTAGAGATATTTGAGGTTATATCCTTTTCCTATTCTGTAGAAAGGTTTTTAATCTGACTAGCTAAACAAAACAGGTTGTCAGGCTAATATAGCCTGAAATATGTTTTGAATTGAGACATGAATTGCATACTAAGATACTGTATATAATATTTATAAAATATACAAAATTATCTTCAAAATTCTCATTCCTGATACCTAGTGAATATGTCCATGTACGTTTTCTGGCAACAATATGAAAATACTTTGCCATTACCTGTTTCTGCTATTTTTTTTTAACTTTCTAATTTAACTTCTGCCTAAGATTTCTTTATTCTTCCTACTAAGGCTGGAGCAACACTCTCTTTAGCTTTTTCAAGGTCAACAAAGGATGGCTAGGGAGCTAACTTTAATTATATTGCAAATACAATTTATTTATTTATTTTTATTTATTAATTACATTTATATCCCGCCCTTCTCCTTGCGGACTCAGGGCGGCTGACAATTGGATAAAATACTAACATATTATACATATTATACCTAATTAAAATTTGATTAAAAAGAAATATTTAAATATGTCAGATTAAAAGTAATTAAAACCCCTTTAAAATCCCTTAGGCCAGTCCCGCTAGCTGGAACAACC